CCGAAGTCACTATTAAAGAGTTGAGTCACTATTCGATGTCTCGTCTCCGTTCTTTGCGCCCACGCTTCCAGAGCTAACAAAATCCATGACAAAACTGAGCTCCAGAAAGAAGACAGCAACTGAGTTTACTCTTGCTTCATAGCCACTTTGTTTTAATTTTCTGTACATTGCCAATAAACACCTCAACTTTTGTCTAACTAAAGGGACTAACATTTGTTTCACAAATTGTTTGAAATCATAATGTGGTTTATTTGGTTTAGCATAATGTATATAATCAACCAATTGTGGTTTGTAAAGCATGTTTTTAAGATAGTACAATGTATGAACTTAGTTTTAGCACAGAAGCATTTCAAACAATGATGGTTCATTATAAAAATTATGGTGTATAAACTATACTGAGAGTAGATTAGCAAACTATAAGGCAAGACTTTGGAAACTTTAATCTTTTTTTATTTCAGAAAGTTGTTTAAACTTCTTCAACTTGAATCACATCTGTAATTTCTATCCCTGCTCACTAGGGGTAGCAATGCATGTCAGATTTTTTTTAAAATGTTAACATACCATGTTTGGTAACTAGGGATGGCCTGCTTATTTATTTTTAGATCTAGATTGGAACTTCAACTTTGCTTATGTATATATTATAATGGGATGTTTGAATATTTTTGCATATTTAACTGAAGATTATTCAGAAAATATTAATATTCAAAGTTATAAAGCAAGGGTCTTCAATCTTTGCAAGTTTAAGACTTGTGGACTTCAACTCCCAGAATTCCTGAGCTAACATGAGTGGAGGAGGAATTCTGGGAGTTGAAATCCACAAGTCTTAAAGCTGTCAAGTTTGAAGACCCCTGTTATAAAGGTAGTCCTCAATTTATAACCATTAATTTAGTGACCATTCAAAGGTAAAACAGCACTGAAAAAGTGACCATTTTTCACACTTAACTGCTGCAGCATCCCTGTGGCCAAATGATGAAAATGTGGGCACTTGGCAACTGGCACGTAATTTATGACGGTTGCAGTGTCCTGGGGTCATGTGATCACCTTTTGCAACTTTCTGACAGGCAAAGTCAACGGGGAAGCCAGATTCGCTTAACAATTGTTCTGCTAAGTTAAAAAAAACTGGGTGTTTCAGTTAACAACTGTGGCAAGAAAGATCATAAAATGGGACAAAGCTCACAACTATCTTGCTTTGTAACAGAAACTTGGGCTCAATTGTGGTCATACCTTGAAGACTATGCCTCGTAACTCTTGGTTTAAATAGTTTTAATTAGTAAACTGACAGGCTCTTTGGACTGTTAATAACATTTCTGCCCTACCGTTGAGACTTGCATCCATATATGCAAGAATCCACATTATGAACATTTTAAGTTGTTATTCACACTTTGAGTGGCACCTTCGTCTGCAATTGCTTGTTATAACAGCAGACACCCTTGTAGCCTCTGTTCTGAAAGCTGTTATTTGAGCATACGAGGCTATTTGCGGGATTGAGAAGGCATTATTTTGCCACCCAAAACAATTATTCTCTCTAAAGCAGATACAGGTGATGAGACTCCTTAGCAATTAAGAAGCAAAATCAGGCTTCTACATAGAGAACACCACAGGATGCATAGAAACGGGTGGGATGCTACCAGTTCTGCCCGATTCTATAGAGCCGGTAGCTCTGAAGAGCAACAGACACAGAACCGGTTCTGTGTTTGCTACTGTTTGGCCCACCCGCCCGCCTGGGCTCTTACCTGTCCTTTATTTCCTGCTTTTTCAACCTCGGCTGCTTTGCACGGCACAGCTAAGGTTGAAAAAGCAGGTAAAAAGAGGCTTTTCAAATGCTGCACAACTGCGCACAGCACTTTTCATCTGTCCGGGCGTCACAGCCTAAGGTTTTTTTTACATGCGCGTGTGAGCGAAGTGCACATGCGTGCATAAAATGTAGTCACTGAACCGGTAGTAACACCAGTTGAATCCCACCCCTGCATAGAAATACTGCTTAAAAGAAAATGTCTCA